TTAACTGAAATGGCTAATAGCTGTGAGTCGTTTTTAGATGAGTGTCTTGACAAAGGCACTAACAAATTTCCACCGCTACGGCATTTACTCGAAATTGACGTCATGGATTTGTTTAACGTATTTCACGAGCTTGGGGACTTTTTGATACAAGAACCTTTGCAATTTCAACATATTTGTAACAAAATATTATTTGCATGTATCAATTTAATAGATAGTGAAAACAAAAATAACGTACGATTAATGCAAGTGGCAACAAATCTAAGACTTAAATGCGTACCACAGTTCTTATCTAATGAGAAGCAACCATACTATGGAGGAATAATGGTCAAAAAAGGTTTACTTCTTGATATTTCTAAACCCAATTCTTACGTTTTTCATACAGTTTGGTCATGCCCTGAAGCATGTGAAGGTAATGAAGTTATTCTGCAATTTATTCCGAAAACACCACCGAAATGTTACGTCTGTCGTAGCGTTTTGTTTGAAAATAGCGGCTTACGAAGATGTGGAGAAAAAGTTAGTGCAACTTTTATATCGAATGATGAATATTTACCAAAGAAATATTTCATTGTTGACGATTTAATATCGAAGTTAAATGTTGGAAATATGTATAATCTTTATGTTGTGGTTTTAAAGAATAATAAATCTGTTTGGTCTGTGGAGGAAAGCGTTATCTTGCCTGCACCAATAACTTATCCAATTCCCGGAGACATTGAACAGCTTTTTGAAACTTGTGAAGGTGTCCCGTGGAAATTTATTTACTGTCTCGCTTCCACGATAGGTGTTCGTGTGTGTCCATTACACTGTTTCATGCATATTAAAATTAGTTTATTACTTAGTTTAGTCAGCGTGAAAGCTAATTTATTATTAGGGTCATCTATAATTAATATTTTAGTAACAGGTCATGAAACTAAATATGTCTTAGAAATAATGTCTGCAGCTACAAAATTTACTAATAGGTCAGTGTATTTAGGTCCGCATACTAGCGTCCAATTATCAATGATAGGTGGATCGGGTGGAATTTGCATTTTACCTTTGTCTCTGTATCGGTCTAATCAGAAACAATTATCTTTTATTCTCAAAACTTTGGAAACCAATAAAATCAATATAGAAAATAGTGAAATTCAATTAAAATGCGCTGTTTGGGCTTTATCAAATGAGTCTAAGAAAATACCTTTTAATAATTTATCTAGTGTATTTGATATTGTTTGTCGGGATTGTGGTCAAGATTACGATGACATAGCAGAATTTTTGCTTAAAAACTCCTTAGAACGGCAAAAAAAGAGTAAAAACGAAGTAACGGCTATAAATAACCTCATGGCCTATATTAATTTGATTGCCGGAGTTCATGTAAGTCTGGATAAGTCTGCTGAAAATCTTTTAAAGAGTTATTTTCTATCGGCAAGAAGGGAGAGTTCAAAAGTAGCAACAATCGGAAGCATAGAAGCTTTGGTGACAGTTTCTTTGACTTCGGCAAGACTTTGTCGTAGATCTGTAGCAACAATCGATGATGCATTATTCGCTATATGGCTGCATGTTTGTGGAAGTCCTCAACCTAGATTTGCACCTGAAGAATACTTACAAACACCGCCAAGTATCCATGAGTTAGAGCAAAATATGACTAAATTTAAGGACTGGTTAGAACAGTTTACAGGAATTAATTTTACCTAACCTTAAAATTTTGTTTCCATTAAAAAAACTAAACATGTTCTTAACTGATATATAAACACGGCTAAACACTCACGTATATTCGTCCGGCGGCGGCATCGACTAGTTTCGTTATTATTTCGCGGACGCGGCCCATCGCTCACTGAAATCATACCAAAGTAATACCAGTACCACTCATCCTGATGAAGGGCCCCCGATGGGCTCGAAACTATTCGCCACCGGACGAATATACGTGAGTGTTTAGCCGTGTTTATATATATTAGTTTAGTATAATGTCTCACGAAAGTTTGAATAATTTAATAAACATGTTCTTGTTATAAATTTCTTTATTATCAATTGTAAATTTATTATTTGAACAAATAAAAAAATATAATCTTCTCAAAGGACTTTCAATGACTAGAAATAAACCGCACACAAGAAAAAAAACATTACCATTAAAAAAAAAAAAACAAAATAAATGTGAAAATTATAAACACAACAAATGCTTATCTCTTAAATACTAGTTTAAGGCACATTTTAAATTCTTTGGATATTTATATATCTCATCAAACACTATCATCTTTTAAGAAACTAAAATCAAATGTAGCTTTTTGCAAAGACATATGCTGCGAGTTTAATCTTTCGCAAAGACTTGCATGATTTTTTCTTATCTTTAAACTTTCCTGAATAAGGGATTTCAGTTGTGAATCTTGTTCTCTATGAGGTATGTAATGACTGGACACCGGTGCTCCAATTTTAAAATCCCTTTTTTGGAAAGACACAACACTGTAAGGAAGATCAGATATATCTCCTGCGTCTCTTATAACAAGACTTATTGTAGACCACATGCATGATGTCAAATCATCCATCAAAGTTGTCACACCGGTGGAAAGTTTATCAGTATTGTCAGCTGCATTTATGATGACATCGTCAATTTTAGACAACTCCAAAGATAGGTCTTTCAATTTAAGTATAAATGCATGGTTTTGCATCTCCATCAGTATTTTACTTCTGAGTTTTAGACAATCGTATGATGCACGTACAATATCAGACACATTATAATACTGACTCTTATTATCTTTTGATCTATTCTCGCTGTAAAATTCATTCTTTTTAAATGCATTATATGCACGCATAGCATTAGTAACTATTGTTGTAAAGTTATATTTAGTTACAAAGTTGTTAAGATCAGAAGAAGTTGCTTCGTTACTCCTTCTGACCGCTGACTGCAATCTAATTGATATCTGTGCCCAAGCTGTCTCCAATTTATCAGTTTTCTCCGACTGATCATTTACATCTTTGAATATTTTCTCAAAACCACCAAGGAAATTAGTACCGATACTGTTCTCTTTCAGATGTTCCACATGTTTCATTCCCACTTCAGTCATTTTTATAATAATCTCTTTCTGAGCTAGAAGTTTCCCTAAGGCTTTATCTACAGAGTTATGTTTCACAAGAAGTTGCTTGCTTTTATGTTTTAATGATTCAGCTCTTGCGAATAAGCCATTTATAAGGTAATCATATATTTTCATTTGGGACAGAATGAAAAATAATCCATTCCTGTATAGATTTTGACTGTTTTTATAATTGTATAAGGCTTTGGGATGTTCTAAGCATCTTCTTACAGTACTCGGTACTATGGGTTCTATATCGTCAATAATAGTTTTTTTCCCATATGCATATAACATAGGAGTTGCAGTATCATTCCAATATATAGAAACTAGATCATTATTTCCAAGATCAACATATGTTGTCGTTGAAATTAATGTTAATTCCTGAGCAGGAATTTTGGTGTCCACACTAATCAAGGCTTTCAATGTTTCTATTGTTGTAGAGTCATTGATTTCATAAGCAAGACTTGTTAGAGTTGTCACTGAGAAAACATGAATAATTTTCTTAGCTAATATAGCCTCAAGTAGATCAAATATTACAACTTTACTAGCAGCTTCCTTTTCCTCTGATGGTATGTTGAATGTAACTTTGGAAGGTGCATCCCTTCCACGTAGTTTAGGATCCCACTCCAAAGCAACTTGCAACCATTTCTCCATTAATGATTTCAATGGTTTTGATATATTATTCTCTGAAAATATTTCATTTGAATACTCTATGTCTTCATGAAATGTTTCATACACACATATTTGTTCATGGGATTTTTTCTTAACATGGGGCATCCATTGAACCGGTGCCAAATATGGCAGAAATGGTCTAACTCCACAAATAATCTCAAATGCCAAAAGTCCAAAAGACCAGAAATCTACAGAGTTGCTGTACGTCTTACTGTAGAAAATTTCTGGTGCAAGATATTGTAAAGTACCAACAAAACTGGCACAAACAGAGTTTGAGTCAATTTCTTTAGCATATCCTAAATCTATAAGTTTATAAGCAACTTTCTTCTGCCCTTGGTTATTTGAATTATCTAAAATATGCAGCACTATATTTTCAGGTTTTAGGTCGCGATGTGTAATTTTGTTTGTATGCAAAAATTGCATTGCATTTCTAATGTCGCTAAGAATTTGTCGCACCTGGGATTCCTTTAAGCCACCACAAGCGTCGGGATTATTCAAGACTTGTCGCAAATCACCACCACTGCAGTATTCCATACAAAGTATGGGCAATTTCGATGGATTGGCACGCTCTAAGCCTACAACAAATTCCGCAGGCAGATTTTTCGTTCCAACTATATTGGGATTGTTGCAGCATTGCAACATCTCTACCTCTTTGGTCCATCTTTCTTTGTGTTTCGCGGTTAGCTCGGGGCCCCATTTACAAGTTTTTATAGCAAGTTTTTCCTCTGTATGTTTATGTTTCCATAATACAACAATTCCAAAACTTCCCGATCCTAAAACCCTGTCTTTTACCCAGTCACCAATAAAAACTATATCGTCCATAGCAAATAAATTTTAACACTTTATCACTAAAGTTACAGTAGGACAATTTGTAAATCTATAAAAATAACTTGCGTTCCAATTTTTCCTTTTTGTCCTAACTTCGTGCAAGACATCACAGCATCTTTCAACCACAGATGACTTTGACATTGACAGACAAAGAGCATATAAAGGTATTAATCGACTCGTCAATTGTTAAATTCTTTGTTAATATCAAAAGTCAACTTTCACAGTCCCAACGAAACTTGATGTTATTTTACATTTTGATTCCATATCATTTATTTAATAAATTGACTGGTACAATACGGAGATAGTTGTTGTTGCAAAAAGAGAAATCTTTGATTTGCTTATGTTTGTGACATTGACAATTGATATCAAAATGCGAAATGTCAATTTTCAATGAAAATTGTTTTATTGGCTCGTCAAACTCGGCTTATTTATTGTTTTAAATTACTAATAATTATTGTGATTGTGAGAAGGACTTCTGATTTTATTATTTGCAATCGGTATGTAGTTACGTTTGCTTATTTAAACTTACTAAGCAAAACAATCAATAGTGATTGCTTTAACTAAAAAGAAACAAAACAAATAAAATTAATTATTTTTTTATCAGAATATACACTAATAACTTTGAAAAAAGCTAAACTTAACATTTGTTTGTAATTGCAGCAACATAAAAGCTTAAAGTATTCGTAGATAATCAATGTTATAGTAAACCATTAAAAGATATAGGCAAACTTTCTAGTAATCTAGTCTTGATATTGAATATAATATATGATTTATATGATAACAGAGCTCCAGTTTAGTTTTATTTTGATCTTAAGTCTCTTTTTTACAGTGAGAAATCTTAATGTTTGAAAATGGTGGATATATCAGTTGTATGTCGAACATGTATGAAAAATCATGGTGATCTTGTGAATTTATTTGTTCCTATGAAGATGGAACATAACTGTGATATGTTATATGTGGATGCACTTGAGACAGCTTCAACTTGTCAGGTAATTTTTTATGTTATTTATCATGATGAGTTATCACCAATATACCAAAAAGAGAGGGATAAGACCCAATCTTTTGTCTTGTCAAACCAACCAACTCAAGGAGAGTGAGTTATTCTCACTTATCCAGGTTCGATGGTACTTTGTAGCAAAAAATGTATCCATTTCGGAGAACATTTTGTTATTCTGAAAGAAGAGTATTGGATCTTATATAAAAAGAAAGATAGGGACATCTTATGTTTCTTTATATAAAGGGTAGGGTGTGCAAAAATAAACAACATTATTTTTTCATACTTTAGGTATAGACAATATTGTTAGCTTATTTTATTAAATACAAGCTGATGCACTCAACTTTGTCCCTGTGAAATTTTAAAAAAAAATGAGTAGTCTATGTCCTACCTTTCCTAATTTCACCCAGATTTCTTTAGTCATCTTGGGAGTTTATTGGTAACAAACTATCCAAACTTTTGCATTTATATTTACTACATTTTTCCAGGTCACAAAAGAAGATGGTCTACCACAAAACATTTGTATGGATTGTGCAAATATTTTAAAAATTTTAATAACATTCAGAGAAAATGCTTTGAAATCTCAAGATAATTTGAAAAAGTTAATATACTTAGATAATACGTTAAAAGAAGAATTAAAGGACGAAGATGATAATACATACAATGAGATGAAAATCTGTGATAACTCAATATTTCCTAAGATTGAAAAAACCGAAGATGATTTTTACATATGTCCCACATGTCAAAAACAATATACACAACATAAGAGATATTTAAACCATTTATTAACACACGAAATAGAACAAACCAAAGTTAAATTAGAAACAGATTATGACAGCATAGATATATTCGGTGAATCAGATTATTCAGACCAACTATACAAATGTGAGGAATGTGATAAAACATTTAATAAAGAACGAGCATTAATATCACATAGAAGGAAACATAAGAATTATGTAACAAAAGATAAAAACTTTGAATGTGATTATTGTCATAAAATGTTCTCGATGAAATCACTTTTGAAACGCCATCTCAAGTTACATTCCACAAACAGACCGTTCCAGTGCAATCAATGTTCCAAATCTTATACAAGACAAGATCAACTTATAGAACATATAAAGAAACATGACAAAGTCAAAGCCCATGTTTGTTCATATTGCAATAAAGGTAATTACATTTACATAAAAACCTTTTATACACAATACTAGATGGCGCCCGCGACTCCGTCCGCGCGTAATTGAAAAAAAACTTTGTAGCTTATGTGTTCTTCCAGGCTGTTCTGTTCGGCATCTAAACTTTTGCATCTATAATATTAGTAAGATGAATGGATGGATGTTTGTTTAAAGATATCTCCGGAACAGCTCAAAACAGCTTAATGAATCTCGATGAAATTTGACACAGATGTAGAACATAGTCTGGAACACACTACTCATTAAGTTTTTTTTTAAATCAGTGCGGATGGAGGCCACAGCTATTTTATATTAGTAAGATTAATGCAGTAAAATCACTTAAGATTGTCAGTTCTTTTAATGTCTTTGTATCCAATTCTATCAATTTTTATAAGCCATTTTATATGTAATAATATTAAATGATACTTTTTTAATTTTCAGGTTTCTCTCAATTATGTAGTTTGAAGGAACATTTAAGGGTACATACAAAAGAAGCTCCATATTTATGTTCTGAATGTGGTAAAAGCTTTACAAACAATTCTAATCTACGTCAACATATGATACGACATTCCGGTGTCAAGCCGTTCTCATGTACATTCTGTCCTAAAACATTTAGTACTAAAGGTAAGAATGACTTAAGAGTTTATTTTCACCTCTTTTAGATTGGGCTTCCATGGCTGCGATAAATTGCTTTCAGAGTAGTATTTTACAGTGAAAACCGACGGTTACACTTAAAGACAATGGCAGTTACGATACAGATTTTTATACCCACCGGATAGGCTACAAGCCGTGTTATTTTGTGTCTATTTGATTTTCGCCATTTTGGCTGTATTGTGAGGGCCTTTCACCCTATACGTTTTAGACATAAGTTTATTGTACAGTCAACTGCCTAAATCTTTATACATTTATAAACTTTAGAAACTTGTATGTGATATCAAAAATACTTTTGCCCATATTCGTCAAGAACATGGACTCGTTGACCTATTCATGCGTACGAATTTTTAAAATCAAAATTATTCAACTTTCTGAAGCTTACTAAATGTTTACATATTAATTCAGCTGACTGTACATGTAAGTCTGATGGTACCTTTTAAGAATCATTTTACGATATATTTTTATTGTTTTTTTTTCCTATTAGGAACTATGTTTATTTTACAGGTCAGATGGTAAGCCACATAGCGACGCATACAGACGCGCATCCTCATAAATGCGACGAGTGCGGCGCCGCATTCACCAAACCCAATTCACTAAAGAAGCATAAGTTCATACATCGCGATCTTAAGGCCTTCGCCTGCGACACTTGTGATAAGAGGTACGTTAACATTACAAGAACATTCCAAAACAAAACAAATTCGATAAACAAATGACTTGACAAACTTTTGCGTTTTCATTTCTTGCATTAAACGTTTGACGTTACTAACTTTTTTAAACCTATATTCAATTCAATTTAATTTACTTAGAAAATATTAATATTTTAAATTTAATTATAAAATAGTAACCGCCAATTTTCTGAAATTATAATTTAACGTCATAATCAATGTCATAACAAGGTCAAGTTTTTTTTTTAATTTTATGACCTGGTAATATAGACCTGTACGTCATATCTTATTTGGAAATTGTTCATTACTTTGGATTCACTACACTTCACTTTCAAGTATAATCTATGACAAATTGCCATAGATTATTCATTCACAGATGATCATAGATTAAAACATTTACTAACAGAGTCGACACAACGTTGCCATCTATAAATATCTATCCTAGTTCATATTTAAGGTGTAATTCCACTAATTCCTAGGTTCAACTGCAAAGACCACCTGAAGCGTCATCAGCGCGTGCACACCGGGGAGAAGCCGTACCGCTGCAGGTACTGCGAGCGCGCTTTCTCACAGAGCAATGACGTCATCAAACATATGCGCATGCATGTCGGACAGGATATATACCAGTAAGTAGAACAACACAGCACGAATGAATGGATGGATGTTTGTTAGAAAGTATATTGAAGACGGCTGAATGGATCTCGCTGAAATTTGACATAGATGTAAAACACATAGGCTACTTATTAAGTTTTTTAAACTGCGCGCTAACAGAGTCGTAGACCACAGCTAGTTATATAAAAGCGAAGTTTTGGATGGATGGATGAATTTTTCTTAAATCGACTATATTTGAAAGATGTTGCACTCGTCAAAATGATTTTTTTTCTAAGTAATATGATTTAACTTTATTAATACTTAATATGCAATAAGTTATACAAAAGAAAGCTATGAAATGTTTTATTAGTAATTCTAGCATTAATACTTTAAAGGAAAATTGGAGTTTTAATACTTCACATGAGTATCATCATCATCCCCACCGAGGGGCTGGGAACCTACCCCAAGTTAAGGGTGATTAGGCAATAGTACACATGAGTATAGTTAATTTTATTTCTAATTTTCTTTCTAGGTGTTCAGTATGTCATATGAAGTTTCGACTAATGAGGGATTTGAAGAAACATTACCCAATACATTATATTAATGATTCTAACACTCCCACAGTGCCGGTGGGGAACGGCATGATGGCACCAATAATGGTACTAAAGACTGACACCGATGTCCAAAATGTCACACAAACTGACATCATGATTACAGTAAATGACACATTATCAAATGGTATTATTATAAATATACCACCGCAAGAAACATAGTATGCTTTATTTCAAATAAAAACTATGAAAATTACATTAAAAAAAAAACAGAAATTTAGAAAAAAAAATCTGGAAAAATATTTTGTCAAATTGCAATATATATGTATATTATACAATTACAATCATAATTTTTACAAAAATTTTGCTATTTTTGAAATGTAAAATAATGTTATGGCCGCCATGTTTGAACTTTGACGTTTATATTTTTACTGTATGATACTTAAAAAATAGTACTTAAAAACATATTAATATGCCTTAGTAATGGAGAATAATAATTTGAAAATTATTGATTCTTTACATTATAAGAAGGCAAAGAAGCAATTGGATTTGAATTCGCCTGAATAGCGAAGCGACCGCTGCACATAGACATTCATAATTGTAGATGCGTTCCTTTACCTTTAAACGGATGAGAAGACGCACAGAAAGAGAATATTTCCCTTTTGGATGCGTCCCCTCTTCTGCCAAATTCACGTCCCCTTCCCATAATAAGAAAAGAATGGGAAAGGAAACTGGATTATTTAGGCTAAATGCTATTTCATAATTATAATTTAGGTTAAGTATTATATTGTGTGATATTAGAATAAACATATGTAAAAATGACTGAATATAAGAAAGCCATGTTGCCTTATCTGATTTTAAGCTCTCTATTATTATTTATATGTTATTTATTATATATAAACATATATTATTAAAATAAATAGCGTAGTTATTTTGTTAGTTCTATATAAAAATGTATTTTAATTTATTAGATATTTAAAAAACATCCTGTAGTTTTTTAGCATTATAACTTTTTTAGAATCGAACTTGGATAAAAGTGAGTGAGTGAGTGAGTGTGAGTGAGTGAGTGAGTGTGACTGAGTGAGTGTGAGTGAGTGAGTGTGAGTGAGTGAGTGAGTGTGAGTGAGTGAGTGTGAGTGAGTGAGTGAACTGGTAAAAGAGACGGTGATTTTTCTCGCTTATAAAGGTTTCTCGCTTATGAAGGTTCCAGTGTATTATTTAATTAAATTTGCTTGTAGATACTCATTTAAATTAATACAAAAGTAATTTAAATTTGGTTATTATTATGGTAGAAATAATAAATGATGTAATTGCCTAAAAAAAACATTATGATAGTTTTAAAACAAAATAAAAGATCTGAGAAAAAACATCTCGTAGATAAAAATGAAGGGTAAATGCATCCAGTAAATGGTTTTATCTTCGCTGTCACCTCTAAATGACAGGCGTGATAGTGTGATAATTAATATGATAAAAGTTTTATTAAAAAAAAGTTTTAAGTGCTCTTGATAAATGATGTTTTATCAATTTTCTAGCAAAGAAAAAAAATTACAAAAAAATAATTTTTTACGCAGTACTGTACTCATTTAGAGGCTATAATTTTTTATTGATATTTTATGTAAATGCAATTTTAAAATGGTTTGCATGATCTGTGTTATTATGCGATATTCTTTTTAGTGATATACGTTTTCATAAATTGCACTGAAAATCTTGACGCGTTTTATTATTTGCACATATAGTCGAACCAGGATAAGCGAGAGTCAAAGGGCCGTTGGGTCTCGTTACTCCATGGAGTGTCCACCGAAGCGACCTAAGAGCTCGGCGGCCTCCGGTAATAATAACGAAGTAACGACCCAAGCCGATGTTCCTGAGGGAGCCATAGAGCTTACTCTTAATTTTTTTTTTATAAATTGATGGTGATGATGCCTCCTCAAGGCAAACAGTGGCCATTCAGTCACAAAAAAGCGAGAGCCAAACGATCGCTATACCTTTCTCGCTTATAGAGGTTTCTTTCTAATCAGAGTTTCTCGCTTTTGGAAGTTGAAGACTGAACAATGACTCTCGCTTATCCATTCGACTGTAAATCTTATTTAAAATAAATAGATGATAAAATCTAATTAATCCCTTTCATATGGCTATGATTATGTAGAGTAAGAAACTATTTTAAGTGTAGTAGTGTCACCGTACAATTGTGAACATTGTCAGTTTATAACCGGACTGTCTGAGGTCCGAATCGAACAAAACTTTGGTTAAAATTTTATATATTATAAACTAAATTTAATGTCTCACATGCCTAGACAGATTTTTCTACGTCAGTGCAGAATTTAAAAAGCCTATATGCTTGTATTCATCCTGTCTTGCAGCCTCGTCAATGTCCCGTCAAAATTAGTCGAACAGTTTCAGACATTACCAGGAACAAACGTGGACTTGCGCCCAAATGGACAAAAATTAAAAAAAAATAGTTTTTAAGTCAATTTGATACACATCCAAACTCATGTTTTTTATCGAATCTATTTACGCAAAGAGTTCCTGCATTGTGCCTTTACTGGAATTATTTGTATGTTTATTTATTTATATAGCTTTAAATTTGAAAATACTATAGCATAATATTTACTTCTGCAATTTTCCTTTCCGATTATGTTCATATATGTACAATATCCTTGTAAAAACACAATAAAATATATTGAAATAAACAGAATAAAATAGTTTTATTTTCTGTTTGTTCTTCCTCTAGAAATCTTGGTGGTAAAGAATTTATTACCTTCATGAGATAAAAAAGCTAAAGAATATTTTGATCGTCAAATAACACGCAAACATTATTTTTGAAGTTGTAGATCTTACTTTGACACCTTGACAGCGAACTGAACCATAGATAACCAAATAAAGCTTTAACATTCTTTGATTTTTTTCTTGATATTTTTGACATCCATCCATCAATGCTGTCATCCTTTGTCACTATTATTAAGTCATGGATGCACTAGCGGCTAGTCGGTCAAACGGTTGGTCGTTGTAACTTCACGTATGTTTTGTCTAAACGGGGTACAACAGTCCCGTTGGCGTAAAACAGTAGTATGCATACCCACGTCCGATCGCGCACGGACGCTTTTTTTACGCCGCGTTAAAACTCTACGTTGCCAGCTCTTAAACGCTTTAAAACACTCTTGTTTTCTTCACCCTAAAAAAATGCGTTTTAAAAGCGTTGCTAGTAATATCCAGATATATAGAGACATATTTGTTTTATTTACGTTTTAATCAGGCGTAAAAAAGGCGCCCGTGTGCATGCGGACGAAGCATTTTGGTTTCTATAGCAACTATTATTATCCATGATGCTAATTAAATTGTAACAAATCATCATTTTATAAAATAAAAATAATTTTGGTTGTCAAGAACTAGAAAATTTTTGAGTAATTTATCTTTTTAGACATACACAACAGATTTCAAACTAGTGAATAATGGCAACGGTCTTATTTCGTTTTGGAACTAAAAGTTTAAGGTAAGGTGCTTTTTCTCACTCAACGAGATTTTTTATTTATTTTGATATGAAAAATAATTTAGTTACTTAGCATTTGGACCGTACTACATCTTTCCTTTAAATCTTAGAGTCGTGTAACCTTTTTATCATTAAGAGGACTAAGAAATTGATGATTTGATTTTTGATCTATTGTAAATCATAATTTATGTTAAAATTATTCACAGATTTATCTTAAAAATTATTAATAAACAACCGTCGTCTTATTAAAAGATTAATTTCTTAAGTTACTTTTCCCTCTACTTACCTTAATAGGTATCAAAAAGCAAATATTTAAAATGAAAAAAGGCGTGCATACTGACTCGGTGTCACTTCACGCTATCGAGTGCACTCAATGCTCCACTTACCCGATAAAAAAAAATTCAGAAAAGTGCAATAATGCATTAAAACTCCTTGAAGTCTCGCCGTTTTATCTTCACCTCATTTCTTGCGTCTAGTACTGCAATGAATAGTTGCTAATTAACTATAGTTTAGTTCTATTTTATTACGTCAAGGCTAGGCTATAAGGCTTATTTTTTACTGTACTAACATTTTAATAGAATATTTAAACAAATTAATGTTTATTCATGGGATTATTGAATTGTTCAGGATTATTAATATTCATAAATGTTTTTTTATTTGTATACGCAATTAAATGTAGGCCACCCACCCGCAATGGGCCAGCGTGGTTGACTATGGCCTAATCACCCTTAACTTAGGGTAGGCTCCGAGCCCCTCAGTGGGGACGTATAGTGAGCTGATGATGATTAAATGTAAAAATTATGTTTAAAAGCAAGACTTGGATCCATTTTCAGTTACATATTTGACCTCTCTGACACCTCTCTGTGTTTGTTATTCTTTGACGGCGTAGCAGCAAACAAAAAAGCTCTACGTTTGCTACGAGTTTCTGTTTGAAGATTTCTTTATAGGAAACACAACAATGTTACAAAAGTAAATGTTACAGTAGAATTAAGAAAATTAAATGTACTTTATTTAATTAATACTATTAATTAGTTGTTGATTTTATAAAGATTAAAATGACATCAATTAATTAAACAGATCTTAAGTATTTACAACTGATGTTAAATAAATTGGTGGAAGATTTTTATCAATTTTTGGTAAACATTGGTTAGTTATTGCTTTGTTTTGGAAAATCTATAGTTTTTTGTGATAATTTCTTGAGGTCATAAAGATTTTTTATAGAGTTTTAGGCGCTAATATGATATGTTTTAAATCCACCTACACGCATTAATATATTTATTAAAATATTTTTAATAAACTACGGGATGGTCTGTATGGCCAATTAATGACACAATTAAATGAACTAAAAAAATATTTGTTTTATAGCTTACTGCGCGTCTGATTTTATATTCTTTGCACTAGGGCGGGCGGGGCGCGTCTCACTTATCACGGGCTCAGTGCGCAGAGGGCAGTCAACAGTAACGCACGCGGTAAGTTACTTATTCTCTATTCATAAATATACGTGTATTTGTATGTATCAGTTTTGTATTATTATTTGTATTACTGCATTTTTGTAGTTTTTTGTAATTGTTTTTTTTTTGAGAATTTTCGTTAAAGAGTATATTTTTTATGATTTTCTCTTTATGTACTATTTTCAATATTATTATTTGTTTTTGATAAATAAATCTTCTTCGTATTTTTTTATGGTTTTAAAAGTTTTTACTTTACGTTTAATTTACTGAAAAGTTGCTGATTGATTTGATTAATAAATTTAAAATGTTAACATTTTTTTGAAATAATTTTATTTATATATTTGAGATAAATT